GCGTGTGCGTGTGCGTGTGCGTGTGCGTGTGTGTGTGTGTGTGTGTGTGTGTGTGTGTGTGTGTGTGTGTGTGTGTGTGTGTGTGTGTGTGTGTGTGTGTGTGTGTGTGTGTGTGTGTGTGTGTGTGTGTGTGTGTGTGTGTGTGTGTGTGTGTGTGACCAATAGGTCAGACAGATACTCTCCTTGGTGGATTTAAGTTACCTAACGATCCATGTGATCAATTTTTTAAGAAATCTGAGCAACTCCCAAGGCATTATAGCCACATGATAGATGGCACACAAACGGCTAATTTATGTGACGTGTAAACGCCAAAGTGAGCGAAAAGGGCCATTACGCGAGCCACAGGGTGGCTATCACCACGCACCCGGGTGGCCGGTTAACTACCTTTCGCTCGGTTGGAGGTCAATTTGACGCCCTAAGATATCAAAAACTAAGATAGCTACAGACACCAAAGTCACGGGTGTATTTGCCTGTACGTGATCTCACTGTGTCAAAATTTGGGTTTCCTAGGTCATGATCTTTGGGTCAAATAAGGCCAAACAAGTTCAAACTCCAGATTGGTGTCCAAAGTGACCACAGACATTCGCATGCAACCACCGTGCATCTAAGATACCTGTTTTAAGGAAAGGAGTACATTTAAGGGCAGTGATCTTCTTTTGCCTTTCGAAGGTCACGGTTACCAAAATCACACAAGACTGCTTTCATTTTTGCGTTCGAATATGCGTCAAAGCATGCGCTAGGCAGTATTCTCCAAAACAGAATTCTGACCTGGGTCATTTTAGATCAGTGACCAACTCTGATCTTTAAGAAGTGCATGGAAGATGTATAATGCGGTTTCCGTTATCAATAACCACAAAATGAGCTCCAGAAACTACCCCATACAGCAAACTCTAGAGAAAAACAGGTGCGTTTCGACTTTATCTGACCTTCATTCCTGACTCCAAGTCAATGAAATTTGTTAATTTTATTGTTGCATTGCCTAGTAAATTATCTCAGAGATAGTTGCCTCGGCTTCGTCTAGCAACCCCCTGTTTCATCAGATTGAACGATTCCCTGGAAACCATCTTTGCTGAATCATTGTCCTGACATTGACCTGCCATAGGTCAGCAACATTACAAGTTGCATGTATTTGTTATGTCGAACGAGCCACTGTTCGGTTAACGATGAACGATAATAAACGACCAGATATTATTTTAAAAAAGCGTTCAGAGTGGGAAGGGGGCAAATTGACCACGCATGTTAAAGTATGCATATGATGCGAAGCTGAAACGATGGCCTTTGATCTAGGTAAATTTATTTTCAAATTGACTCAGACGTCGAAAAAACATGCGTTGATAAAATTCCGTGAATTACGGCGCTAAGACCATCTTAATGTCATCACCAGTTATGAAAACGCCTCGGGCATATCTCGTGACCCATAGGTCAGATGAACCTTGCGTTGAGCCATGTGGATTCTACGCATCCAATACCCTAGTAAAAACAGTTTTCAGAAAAATCAGATATTGGCCGTGTTAGCTGTGCCGGGCTGTGTGAGGGACTGCACAGCTTAACAACTAGAGCGAAATATTGAGTAAAAGAAAACCCTTCCAGCATTGCTTCTCACAAAAGAATGATGCAGTTGGAGAACATTTGTTTTGTTGTGGTACGTTTGGGCCTTAATTTTGTTTAACTCGTTCTTGAGCAGCCTTATCGGGCCAGTCCTCCTAATATCCCCGACCAGAGTTCCGGCATACTGGACAGACCGGCAAAATGTCGGTCCGATAGCAATCTTGGAGGGAGGCCCTGTCTTGAAAGCAGCACCAAGTTCTCGAAAATCAAGCCTACATACAAAAACCGCATGCTTTGCGTCGCCTGCGGAGACGCTCGTCTGCCCGCAGTTCACATCGTCTGCCCGCAGTTCACCTGACCTTTGACGGGAAAGGAAACGAGACTGCAACTCATTTCGCTATATCCCTTTGCTCCACGTAACTCAGACCTTGCCTTAGCTGTCATTCGGGTCTAACTGGATCAAATGTTAAGGTTTTAGTATACGAAATGTCAATATCGTTGCAAAATAATTAAGGATGGTTTTGTCATACCATTCCTTGTAAAACCTACAATTAATGCCGGTGCCGTTTCCAGACACATACAGGGCCCATTATTTTCTTGCCCCGTAATCAAAATGCGCATTTTTGTCCCGCTGTCCCAGAGCAGTTCCGCTTTTGCCCTGCATCATTCAATTTTCCACCGCTGCCCCCTCTCCAGATTAATAAGAACTCTTACCATCAATGCTTTGCATTGATGGTTTTGTGCCCATAGCACTTACTAAGCGGAGCTTGTTCCGCATTCCGCGGTCCAATCAGCTGAAATGAGCCGATCCAGCTCGTCGGATAACTTACCCCGAGACCGTCTCACCAGACAGGGCTGTGGCAGGCTCAGTACGCCGCGCAGTTCTCCGGCACCGGCGGCACCGGTGACATTCACACGGTGTGGCTAGTTGCCAGCAAACCCTCCTTCTTCAGTCGGTCAGAGCCCCAGCACGATCGCTCGGGCCAGTTTAGCCCGCTTCGTTCAGTTTTCAGGGGACTTTCTTCCGCTGTTTGGCAACGCAAGACAGCCGAGTCGCGGCTCCTACCCACCACCGCTATATTGCAAGCTCAGTGTCCCCACACCAGGCCGCGGGACCCGCGGCGTCCAGCGCATAATAATGCTCTCGCTGCGCCACTGTTCCTGTTCCCGGACGAGAATTACGCGCCCTGAGTAAACACGTTGAGGCCGTCCAGAGCCCAACGCTAGGCAATGTGCCGTGTATTAACTAAGTTTCTTGTTTATTTAACCTTCGCCCTGATAGGTGGTCGATGCTCCTTCTTTCCCCAATTTTTTTCCCAGCATATCTCTTCGGCATAGCGTGTGACCGGGCCCAAGCTGTTCAGAAGTCTCTGGGGCCTTTATTATGCGTGGTTTGACATAAAACATGTGTCTCTAGCCTTTCTTGTGTCTGAGAAGCGATGGCTGTTTAGGTACACTGCACGGCGACCCGCGACCGGCAGGAGCGACGGACGGCAAACGCCGAATCCATCCATCGCGCGCGCTGGGCCGACGCTGTTACATTAGCGGAGGCCTTCACAATAACATATACTCAAGGCACACACAACTGCATGCCGATGTGCCAATAATGAAATAAGGAACACATCAGTGCAAGTTTAATGCTACAACGCTACATGGTTTCGTTAATATCGGCATGTAAAGCTGGAACAGTTTGATTTTCAGAAAATTAATGTGATATTGACGCAGCCTAGTGGGGTTAGTTTTTGACAAAGTAGAACAAAGCCGATTTCCGATCGCGAGATCGCGTTGAGACCAATCTGCCGTTTCTTTTCTGCGAGGCTCTGTTTCGCCTTGAAACGGTGGTAGATTTCATCCCCCCACCACCACGCACACCCTATCAGTCCGCGTTATGAAAAACGGCGAATCAGGGCGAGTATCTAAAACCTCACTTTGGTCACGCAAAATAGGTGGAGTGTATTTTAATGTTCAACGCTGCGGCTTTTTACCCAGGTACACACATAGATAAGACAGTGGCATTAGCATTATTCCTCGGAGAGAAAAAAAAAACAGGAGAATGGAGATATAGTTGGGCTGATATTTCGGTAACATTCCGTTATGGATACAATAGCAGAAGTTCAATAGAAGATATTCTGCAATTTTTTCGATAAAGGTATGTTGCCGAAATACCAACCCAACCATATCTCGTAAGTTGTTCAGTGCATTCGCGAGGGACATTATCCACATGGATAAGACAGCGGTATTAGTCTTATGCCTCGGAGAAAACCAGGGGAATGGAGATAAAGTTGGGGTGATATTCCAGCAGCATGCCTTTATCGAAATAATAGCAGAAGGGAATTCACTCCTGCTATTGTTTTGATAAAGGCACATTGCCGAAAGATCCCTAACACCCCTATATCTCCATTATCCTGGTTTTCTTCGAGAAATAAGGCAAATACTTCTGTCTTACCGACTATATGTTCATTATTCTGTTTTTTCTCCGAGGAATAAGGCTATTACTACTACCTTATCTATGTGAATAATATTCCTCGCTAATGCACTGAACAACTTACGTAATGAGGTACACATATCTGAGCGATTCAATGTAAACAAAAACTCGTGATCTAAGCTGACCCGCGACCATGACCTTGGAGGTGACCGAAAATTTAAATTTGGTGTGTTGATTGTGAAATGGGCGTATCCGAGTCGTCATGTACGTGCACTAAATATAAACGTGGTAGAGAAAGTCAGGAATTCAAGTGAGATCTCACGTGAAATGATTCACACATCAAAAGTGAGTGGCCGGACAACGTCGCCAACCCTGCAAATTTACGGTTATTTGGCGCCAGCGCTGAATCCGGCTGGGGCCTTACTTTGTCAATATGCCAGGGACGTCAACAAATCTACCTCCTTGATTTCAGAACAAGCTGTCCTTAAGCTTAGCAGCATTCTGGAAAGGCTACAGCCGGCGCGATTGTGCGAGAACCCGTAATGCAACATCGAAATAAAACGCAAAATATTTCACCATGGTGTATTCGTCTGTCCGTCATGGTACGATCAGCGATAAAGTACGCACAGGTATGGTCCACTCTTTCATTATATACATACCGTCAGACAGCAGGTACGAACACCAAGCAGGTACGAACTCATCACCCAAGAGTCACATGATCTGAACGTCACCATCGAAGGTACATCGGCAGCAGGTCTAGAGGTCAGGGCAAATCGGCTTGGGGTTCCACCACAGGTGCACGAGTTTGTCCGCATGCGACGCGGCGGGTGAGGGGTTCTGGACGGACTGTTTATGGGCAAATGGGGCAACGGAGCGAGTACTGAATATCACCGTGCTTATCACGAGCGTCCCGTGAAAGACATGTGCCGGCGCAGGGGGCCGGCCGTCGGGCAAACCGGGCCGTCGGCAGTCGCGGACCACTGTTCGGCCGAGGGGCGGCGGGGCGCGCCGCTGCCGCCCGCCCGACAGCACAGCAGCGACAGCGTCTGCCTGAAGGCCTCGCGAAACTCGGTGTTGAAGTACGCGTAGATCATGGGATTGAGCGTAGAGTTGAAGTAGCCGATCCAGAAGAGGATGTCGACCAGTACTGGCGGCACGTGACACGCGGGGCCGCACAGTGTGCTGATGCCGTACCACGAGAAGAACGGCAGCCAGCAGAGCACGAAACACCCCATGATGACGCCGAGCGTCTTGGCCGCCTTGTGCTCGCGCAGCATCTGGTTGGTGGAGAAGCGCAGCCGCCCCAGCCGCGAGTTAGTGGACGCCTTGCGCGGGAGGTCGGCGCCAGGGCGCTCCCCGAACGACATCGACGACGCCTTCTTGCAGAGGGGCGGCGCGCGCCGCGGTGGCGACTCCGCGCCGCCCGGCGGCGCCTTGGCCGCGACCTCCTGCGCCCGGGCGGCGGGCGCTTCCTCCTCCGGCTCCTCGCGGATGTTGTGCAGCGCCGTGAGCGCCAGCGAGAGCTGCTGGTCGGACATGTCGGCTAGGTTGACGCCGCCGATTGCGCCGGGCGCCGCGCCCCGAATGGCGTGGTGCTGCCGCCTCGCCTCTCGGTATATGCGGCTGTACATGCACACCATGACTACGCCCGGGATCCAGAACGAGATGCTCGACGAGACGAGCATGTATGCGCGGTTGACGATGAACTGACAGGTGTCCGGATTACGCGCCCGGAACGCCAGGTGCTCCTGGTTGGTGTACCAGCCGAGGAAGATGGGCACGAAGGAGATGAGCGCAGGCGCTGTCCACGACACGGCCAGCATCGAGGCCACGGTACGTCGGTTCATGCGCGACCGGTACTCAAGCGGCAGCATGATGGCGCAGTAGCGGTCCACGCTGATGCAGCACAGGTGCAGGATGGACACGGTGCTGAAGAAGACGTCGAAGGAGTTCCAGGCATCGCACATGAAAGGCCCGAATAGCCACTGGCCCGTGATCTGGATGCTGGCGTTGAAGGTCATGGCGCACAGCGCCACCAGCATGTCGGCGAGCGCCAGCGACACCACGAAGTAGTTGGCGACGACGCGGATGCGCCGGTGCAGCAGCACGCTGACGATCACCAGCAGGTTGCCGAGCACGGCCAGCACGATGATGGAGCCCATGGCGGCGATCTTGAGCAGAAGCGCGGGCAGCGGCGCGCCGGGGCCCGGGCCGGGTTCGCCGGTCAGCTGCAGCGGGCCGGCCGTCGCGCTGCCCCCCGCCGCCATGCCATGGTCCGGCAGCGCTGCCCGGGAGGTCGCCGTCGGGCGGCAGCGCCGCTGGCGGCCGCCGGCCGCCCCGCCTGCTGGTCAGCGCCCGCCGAGGTCAGTCCCGCTGCATGACCGACGGTCGTGACCGGGCGCCGCCGGACGCCGGGGACCGATAGCGCGGCGAATCACGGCTGCGGTCGGCGGCCTCAGCGGCGCCGTCCGCCTCTCGCTGCCCAATTCCACGCTCAAAAATCGATGCTGCTCGAACGTAGGCGGGGAGGAGTGGAGCGAAGTGGAGAGCAGAGGCCGGGCCACTTGGTGACCATCGAACGCGGTCGCAGAGGAAGCGAACGCCACTGGTCCACGGCTGGAGGGACGTGCCTTTCTCTTGCAGGTGTCCGAGCCAGGAAGCACTGCACTGATTGCGGAAATACCTCGTTCGTTAAATAAATCTTCAAAGCTACGATATCGTCCCTGGGAGCGCTCACCGCAGTGGGAGGTCCACGCGTGTTCAACCCTATAAATACTCGGCAAGTTTTCGCTAGATCCGCAAAGCACGCTTCGTGCTCCGCTTTCTGAAAACCTCGGTTGTTTCCAAACCGTCCAAAACACCGCACAGTGCCTTGACCCCGGCCTGGTCAGCCGAACCCCTGCAGCGGAGGTCACAAAGGCGACCGGCGCGGCGAAGGTCAGGGTCGCAGCCGACCTGGAGGAGGTCAGGGGCGCGGCCGACCGTCGGCGCGGGGCGCGACTCACCGACTGGCGGCGGAGCCTTCACGTGCGCGCCGCCTGCACCCGGGATCGATCTGGCGTTCGCCGCGCCGGTCCGCTCACTCCCGGTCGTGAGCAACCAGCCGGCAACCAGCGGGTAACCAGCGGTGGAGAGCCGCACCGCTAGTCCCAGCGGGCAGTTAAGAAGGCAGGTGAATCGATGGGCTGAATCCCCAGCGTAGCCAGTGATCCCAAGGGACTGTCACCTGGGACATCCAGCTGCAACAAGCCAAGCCAGCCGATAAAAATAAGCTATCCTGAGCCTGACTGACCAGCTGAGCCTAGCTCCCGGGCCACTCATCCTGACTCTCGGCCGCTTGACTTTCAGTCTGTTCATCCGCCGCACTCCAGCAACAAACTACACTAGCCAGCGACACAGTCAGGCGACACACCAGCCAGCGACACAATCGGTCAGCGACACAGCAGCCAGTGGCACAATCCGCGACACACCAGCCAGCGACGCAATCGGCCAGCGACACAGCAGCCAGCAACACAATCGGCCAGCGACACAGCAGCCAGTGACACAATCGGCCAGCGACACAGCAGCCAGCGACACAGTCAGTGACACAACAGCCAGCAACGCAGTTGGCGACACAGAAGTCAGCGGCACAGCAGCCAACGATGCAATCAGCGACACAGCAGCCAGCGACACCATCGGCCAGCAACACAGAAGCCAGCGACACAGCCAGTGGCACAGCAGCCAGCAATACAATCGGCGACACAGCAGCCGGCGACACAATCAGCCAGTGTTTGTCGACCGCCCAGCTGTGCGCGCCAGCGGACCGCCGCAGCCGCCAGCTCGGACGAAGGTGGTCGCGGTGGCGCTGACAGCCGCCATCGTCTTCGGCCGGCATCTCTGCTGATGTTGCAAACCGTGCTGGGACTCCAGCCGTATCTGCCGTCGACGGTGGGTGGGATGAGAGAGCAGGATTGGGAGCTCACGTCTGCGGCGACATTTTCGAGAGGCTTGCAGCGGTCTGGGGCTGGATGTGATTTATCTGTCAATCAGCGTTGGGAATAACTTCCAAGTGCTAAGCTAAAAAAACTGCCGACCGTCGCAGTTTCATCGGGCTCAGGCTTAATAAGTCTTATTGGAGCCTTTGCGAACCAGTCAGGATAATAGGCAAAAATTGGCGAAAATATAAAGTCAAACGCGGACGGCGACATCTGATAATGGTGTCAGTCGAATCTGTTGCCGGTTAGAGGCTAGAGGTTTTTGACAACTTGTGTTCCTTCGTTTCGACATGACTTGTTATATTATAATACAGAGTGACGCAGATATATACGGTAAGTATAAAATCAACTTTACTGAGATACCGACGTCAGTGTGGTAGTAAAGCATAACAAGGCAAAGTAAACTAACGTAAACAGTAAAACTCGAATGTTTGTGTTTATAGCCGAGGAGTTCATGTTATTAAATCTCGTCATGCGGTTTCTCACAGCCGGAGTACGAAAAAGAAAACCAACAAAACATGGTAAATAATAAAACGCTAGCATACCCTTATCCTCTCCTAAACAAGGCCATAGAAACAAAAGCCGTGACCATATGGCCAAAACAAGCTCTCCCGGTGTTTTTTTTTAACACTGTCGGTCTGTCGCGCACCATATCAGCTGTTTTCGAACAATTGAATCATAGGATCGATGACGGTGCAGCCCAACCATCGTGTAGCGTTGCTGTGGAGGTAACACAATATATTCTTCACGTTTTTTATCCACTTTAATAAGACCCACATGCATGCATGAGTTGGAATGTGTCGGAAGCCTGCAAAGATGCCGTACGATTAGCCGCCCCTGTGTTTTCCGTCCAGGTGGTACAGTGGTTAGAGTGCCGATCTCAGCCCCTGGAGAGTGGCTGGCACAGCAGGTTAAGAGCACAGCAGCCACAGCCGAGTGCGACCCGAGCGTCTGGTTTCCTGACAAGGAGGTGGAAGGTTCCACACGGTGTGGTCGCTCCGGACGCCGCACGGCCCGTTGCAAGTGCTCAGTCAGTGATGTAGTCAGGATTTTGCTCAAGAGGAGGCAAAATCGGGTCACGGAGTCTTTCAGTGAAGGGCCTTTTCCATCACCATATGGGACCTGGGTGTTTTTATTCGGAGGATCTATTTAGGCTCATAACTCTAGTTTGGCGCTCCTGAATACCGTTATTATGTTTCAAAAGGACTTCGGGTGTTTGAAGCAGCCGGGAAATACTGAGGCCTTAAGTCCCAGGTGACCCCCGCCAACTACAGGGAGGGCGGGGGGGGGGGGGGGGGGGCGAGGCATAGTCCAGAAGCCGACACTTTTGGCTACGCCACTGCTGGCAGCATTACTTCGTTATCAAGGTCGGGCAGAAATATTCAAATCCGGACCACTTGGGTGACGTAGCCAATGCCCACGTAAAAAATTATACTGGACGATGACGTAGTTTGTCAAGCCATGCGAACCAACAGTGCATGCGGCTGGATACAACGTAACTTAGGTGTGTTTGCCATCTTCAATCTAATTCCAGCTACAATCAAAAACGACCTTCATAAGCAGTTCACGTGCACCGACAGCACTATATCAGATGAGATGTCAACTGAAATGGCGCATCTCCTCTGGAATGGGTGATGTGCACAGTTTAACTACAACAGCTGCCGCTCTAAAGACGTCATCTCAACACAGGTAGCACCTAACCATTCAGAATGGAATAAATGCACCGAGTTTGACCCAACTTCCCGTCTTGGGGGTCGGCAATGGGCTTCCGCGGGGGCACGCTCATACCGCGACATCACCTTCCGCCTGTAAGTAATCGTGAGTCACTCTAACTTTATCGTGCCTCCGTGTAGACACGCACGCCTCACATGCCAGGCCCGGCTTCTGGTCCCTCGGATCTGGCTTGGTTTCTCCGCGGTGCACCTCTGCCCCGGACGTTTTGGGACGCATCGGCGCGGTCGGTGCCTCGATCGATGCCGTTCGATCGGCTCGTGCGCGGGTGGGCGGCCGACGAACCGCCCTCGACAGATCACGCACCTCTCCCGGTCAAGGCCACCAGGCGCCCGATCACGGCACGTTACCACTTGCATTTGGCTTCGCGCGGCCCGGTTTTTGTGGTCGCTGCAGACGTCGGTGCAGAAGGAGCAGGTCATTACGACGGCGGCCCGCCAGGTGCGGCTTCGATTCCGCCGCTCTGGCGCGGCCGTGCCACCGAGCGGAAATTCTAGCGGGCGCGCAGGCGTCGCGGATAATCGAGCCCGATGGAAAAACGGGACCGGCTGGCGGAGATGCGGGGTCCCCACATCGTGTGAGGCTGAAATCCAAGGGTGGATACGCAGGTGGCACAGAAACGCCTCTGGGCGAAAAACGCCCGACGCGAGCGGTAAGCCTGGTCAAAATCGATTGCATCTACAGCAGCGCTGGCGTGGTGCAGCCGGCGGCGTGACATATGATATTCTCTTCGCGAGTATTGGTAATAATCATCGCTTTACCAATCATCAAACTGACTGCACGAGTCGGATTACTTCTGCGAAAGAAAAGGAGAAAGATGCGTTTCCTGGCGGCGCCTAATTCAACATGCTAACCTGGGAACATCCTCACCAGCGACCGCCAAAACCGCCTTCCTCCAAGTGAGTCGCGAAATCCCCTCCCCCAGTGAAAATCTGGATTTGCCGGCAGCTCGCGCCCGACCCGGTCTTTGAAACGGCCCAGCATGTTGTCTCTACATCCGTCGTCGTAGTTTTGACCTGTTCACCATCCCCGTCATGCGTTGACAGCACTCAGTTCCAAGCTAATCCCAACGTGCGCAATAGTCGTTGACAAGAATCGCAAGTCATTGACTTGCGGTTCCACTTGGGAAGTACACATGTCAACAAATTGTGGCATGGAAAGTAGTTGGCCATCTCAAATGGTGTGTGTAATGACCAGGGCTTTCCAAGCATATCGTGAGCTTTTATCTCAACATTTCCTTTTTAACGTTGACAAATTTACTGCTAACGTCATAGCAAACTTTCGTTCCACGGGTCATCGTCGCTAGTTTGTGAACGCTTACGCAGTTCATAGAGTTCATGCTCGTAGAGTTCGCAGACCAGGCATTAGACGGAATAAACATGTTAATGAAACCGGTTATGCATACATTGATGGCTGACGGTTGACCACACCAGGCTGACACACTTTTTCCAGGTGCTGATGTGCGACACGGAGTCATTGATATGTCACACGGAGTCAAT